AACTTAAATACTAATTTGAAAAGAATTACCCTATGTCCATTGCAGTATTATTTATAATAGCCCATATATGAAAGCTACCTGAGTGCCCATCAATAGATGAGTGGACAAAGAATATATGGTACATATATTTAATGGAATATTACTCAGCCATAAAAAGGAATGAAATTCTGACATTTGTGACAACATAGATGGACCTAGAAGGAATTAGGCTAAGTAAATAAGTCATCTAGGAAAAGATAAATCCCATATGATTTTACTTATATGTGGAATCTAAAAAACAAAATAAATGAACAAACAAAACAGAAATAAACTCATAGATACAGAGAATCATTTGATGTTTGCAGATGGGAAGGGTAGTGGGGAGAGAGAGTGAAAAAGGTGAAGGGATTAAGAACTACAAATTGCCAGTTATAAAAACAGTCACGGGGATGTAAATACAGCACAGGGAATATAGACAGCAATAGTGTAATAACTATGTATGGTGTCAGATTGATACTAGGTTTACTGGGGAGATCACTATATAAGTTATACAAATGTCTAAACACTATGCTGTACACCTGAAAGTAATATAATATTGTATGCCAACCATAATCAAAAAATTAAAAAAGAAGAAAAAATAATGCTGTGCCTGCAGTTGTGGAGGACAATACATATAAATTGTAGATATTTCAGTAACATACTTACTATATTTATGTTAGCAATATGTTTTTCTAAATATGATGGCCAAACCTATAAATTACTTTCCAAGAAACTGACACCTTAAAGAAAATCCATTCTTCTGTAAGCTTTTTTGAGGGGGAAGTGAGACTGATAACCAAAGAAGGTGATGATAAGGATTTAATTTAGAAGAAGAAAAGTATCCACTTAGGGGATGCTGGGGGTCACTGTCCAGTCCCACTCTCCTCCATCTTCCTCATACCTACCTTATGTAATGGGTGAGACTGCTGTTGATGATGCAACTTTGAGGTATAAAATGACTTAATCATTCCAGAGAGATTATTTTGTTTATTGTACTGCATTTACTAGGGTAAGAAAGTGTCTCAAATTGTATTACGGAGGTGTTTGATACGAATATAAATAAATAAGAGTTTTTTAATAAGTAAATTCCATTAACTATAATGCTATCATGTATTTATACTATGATGTAGCCTTTTATAGCATTTAGCATTGAGTTTGCTACTGAGTGGGCCTGCAGTATGTGACTACGAGTAATTGTTGAAATACTATGCACTGTGTCTAACTGGGTCTGTACAATCTTATAGGATAGTCAGGACAAATGATAGTATCCATATTTAATTAATGAGCCAAGTTCAGGGAAGTTTAGTGCTTTCTACATGGTTTTTGACTAAGCAACTGAACCAGAGGCAGAATTAGGTCATCTGTGGTCCTGTGATTATCTGTACCCCCTGCAGTAGTCACATCCGAAAGCCATTTCAGAAGCTAGAATATAGTTTCTAATTAGAGCACGAGGTTGAACGTGACTTTTCCAATACATGAGACAAAACCAATATTAGTAGGTGCAGTAACATGAGGACCAGCTTAAGGATAATAGTAAGTAAAGAAAAGAAAAAAAGCAAAGATAATACAGTGGTCATGATTTAGAAAAATGCAAGAGAGCCTTCTCAACACCACCTGCAACCTGAACTGTGTTGGAGGGAAGACTGGAAAATGCGAATAGGAAATACGATTAAAGGTGGGCCTGTGGTTATAAATTGCTTTTTTAATGGTGACGATAGTAGCTGACATCGAGTATAATAAGAAGATGAGAATGTCAGTATCAATTTTTATTAGTGTCATGAACACTATACAGTATATTTAAATTAGCTTCTTTTGGGTTAGTATTTCTGTAAGTGGTATCTCCAGAAGCCCTAACATGCCTAAAGCATTCTATAAAGGAAAACTAAATAAAGTTGCTAATGTTCTCTACAAAATAGCCTTAACTTTTACACTGAGGAAAATATGATACATTGCCTATAATATTCTAATTTCAAGCACAAAACAAATTCTGAATTCTAGTTCACAACAAATCTGAGGAAAAAATTGGAGTAACTGTAGCAAATGAAGTTGTACAAAATTAAAAAGACACTAAAAATATAACCTAACATATAAATTAGAACCTTTTATCAAGATTTACATAGAATGATAATTAGGGTCTATATCAGGGTCAATTTCAACCATTTAAGAAGCAACTTGGGACCTATTCAGCCTAAGTATGATCATCCTGTTGAAAACAAGCAATTATAAAATTAACAGTAATCAGTAATTTTTATAAACTGGTTCTTATTAAAGAAAAATAGGTAAATTAATTTTGTTTATAAATTTTACCAGCAATTATCACCACTTTCGGAGTTGGTCTGATGACAAATTAGGTAATATTAAATATCTGATAAAAATAATTTTTAGGGAATTAGAAGAAAAAAACATACTATTTTAAATTAAAATACATTCTTTGTTTGAATTTCAGAAAACTAAGCTTTGAGAAACACACCATAAAGGTTAAAGTATAGAATTTTAAAATCCAGCTGCTGAGGACATGAACATGAACTATTTCAAACATCTTTATAGTCTAGGCAGTTACTATTTTCTTTTATCCTCACCCGAGGACATTTTTTTCTATTTTTTGTTCAGATAGGGTGGGAGGGAGAGAGAGGAAGAGAGAGAAACATCGATGTGAAAGGGACACATCGAGTGGCTGCCACCTGCACCATCCAACCAGGGCTGGAGACAAACTGCAACCGAAGTACATGCCCTTAGCAGGAACCGAACCCTGGCCCCTCTGGACCGCAGGCCGATGCTCTCACTGCTGAGCCAAACCGGCCAGGGCTGGGCAGTTACTATTTTTTTTTTTTTTATCCTCACCCGAGGACATTTTTCCAGTTTTTGTTCAGCTAGAGCGGGAGGGAGAGAGAGGAAGAGAGAGAGAGAGAAACATTGATGTGAAGGGACACATCGAGTGGCTGCCACCTGCACGACTAACCAGGGCCGGGGACAAACTGCAACCGAGGTACGTGCCCTTAGCGGGAACCAAACCCGGGTCTCTCTGGACCGCAGGCGGACCCTCCAACCGCTGAGCCAAACCGGCCAGGGCTGGGCAGTTACTATTAAGTGTGTACGACAGAACGCATAGTTTGGCGGCTGAGAAGCTGGCATCTGAGTCAGAAGTCTGGATTACTCACTAGTGGTAAAATCTGGGGCTTTTTACATAAGTTATTTGGTTTTACTTTTTTCCTCTGAATATTGGAACTCTCATAATTTTTCCCTTACAATGTTATTGTGAGGATTGAATGAATGAGTCAGAATGATAATGCTCAGGAGTGTCTGGCATACAATAAGACCTCAATACATATTAGTTGTATTATAATAATAAGAAATTCTAACAAGGTAACTTAGGTAGTAATGTCTATTTTTCCAGAAGAGTTATATTAAACATATTTTCCCCACACTGTTGCTTCTCTCTGGATTCCTTCCTTCTCTGTGAATTATGTATTTCTCCCTAGGCCAAAGCACACACTCACTCATTCAATATTCTCTTTTCTTTTCCATGTTGTTATACAAGACCCATCACTCAAAAGGCCTTTTTTCCTTTCCAAATAGTTTGAGTCTCTAAAAAGACTGACTGAAAACAATCACTTCAACAGGCGAGAAAACCATGGGCTCCGGGCACTCAGTTCTGTAGAGACCACTAGGAAACACGCCCTGTGATGGCAACCATCTCCCTCACTTTGAGCCTTTGATCGTTTAACCTTCTTTTGATCATTCTATAGGGGACATAAAGTCTCCAAAAAGATAGAAATTTTAAATGAGAACAGATTTCAAAAGCCTGAATTTAAGTGAGTCAGAAAATTCAATCTTTTACTCTGCCTCAATGTGGGGTATACTCTATGTTCTGCTCTGATAAAAGTAGTTTAAAATGTAAAATTCTCAATGATAAAATTGATCATGTAGGCAGGGCCATGGATTCCCTATAAAATATCTCCACAGATAAGAGTGTTAGCACAAGAACATGCACCTAATTCTGAGGCACACCTGTTCCACTTCAGAGGTGAACCCAAGCCAACGGATGAATCGTGGGACACAGAAGTAACTAAGCTCTTGCTTCAGGAAAGCACAGGGCACAGTTGCCTATAACTTGTTAATGCACACGTTAACATAGCAATGTGCATCAGACAGTTACACATCCTTCAGTTTCCACACATTTCCCTCAGGAACACATACAGACCCTGTCGTTTTCACAAAAGCAGATTAGTTAGTGGGTTTGGGAATTTCTGGGATTGCAACAGTAAATCTAGAGAAGAGACAAGGGACTTATCTTGTTCCTGACACAATTTCACTAAAAAATATTGGCAGTACAGAAGATGTACTGTCAGTATGTGTGTATTTTCAAACATATACTTAAAAAAAGAGATAAAACACTATACCTCACAAAGATACTGTGAAAAGAAAATCTAATTGGAGTTTATTCTGCAAAACCTATTAAGGTGGACATTCAGAATATTACCTGAGGTACATTGATAGTATCTAAGGTGGAAATGCTTGGATCCACCCAATACCTATTATCTTCAAATGTCTGCATTAAAATTAAAAGCATGTGGTTACCTGATAGAATTATCTGCATTTTTTTTTTAAAGAGAATTTAGGACTTGGGTTATCTATTAATCCAGTTCATGGATAACAGCTCAGTTTTTCACTTACCATTAGTGCAAAAACAAACCACGTGTGAGGTGTGTACACAAAGGCAGCACACATTCTATGGAGAAAAGTGGAAAATTACTCCCACCACAGCAAAACTCTGCTGGGCTTTGTTATCACAGGAGTAGCTTTAATTGTTTTGGATTATCAATAGTTTCTCCCTTTCTCCACTTCTTTGGTGTATAGACAGAGGCTATGCAAAATAAGCCCATTGACTTATTCCTCATACTAAAACAGGGATTCTAAGTACAAAACATTCTAATAACTAAAGCAAATCAATATTAGAAAAAGTAATGTAGGACAAATCTTACCTGAGCTCCTGGATTAGAGAATTCATTGGCACTGCTGGAAAAAAAATTGGTTTATAATTTTGAAAAGTGTATAACTGAAATTATTCACCTACCTAGACATAATGACCAATAGATAGTTAGTATAGACCTCGCTTAATTTCCCTTTGGGTGGATTGATCTTTTCTGAGTCAGGTTCTTTGGAGACAAGAGGACAAATAAATATGGCCCAGAACAGGTGATTCTAGGTTTAGTGCCTATGGTGACCCTGGGTGGGACTTTCCAAACACTTATCTTTGGGGATACATTAAAAAATGATGAGAGCATGAAGGACCTGAATTACTTTTTAAATCAATTTGACCCATTTTATTGTTTATAGAAAAACATTTTTAAAAACCCTATGTATGTTTTAATTGACATTAAACAAGTATATAAATAAAACTGGCAAAGATTTACTAAAAAATGTCCCAAGATTTGTTTCATAAATTTCATACATAAAGAAGAAGAGGATAAGCATCAGCTATGTTAATATCAACATCACTTTAAAAATAAGCAATTTTTAGAAAAAAAAGCTTTGATTTCTCTTACTGAAATGATGGGGCTGAAGTTCATGTTTATAAATACCTGCCTACGCAAGGGTAAGCAGCACACTGAGAGAGAACAGGTGGTTTTAAAGATTACTCATGATACATGAGAAACAGTTGTTTCATTTCTTGAGGAACATTTTGGCTCTATTTTAGAATGCATATGTATGTGCCAAAGGAATCTGAAGTAAAAAAAAAAAAATTTGCAAATTAAAACAGCCACAATTTACAAGTATGCTAGAGTAGTGTGATTTTAGAAGTCTAAACAAAATATTCAAATAATCCAAATACAGTCCCTAGAACTCTGATTTTGATGGCAGATGTAAACTTATCCTAAATAATAATACAAATTCTTTTCCATATATATGTATTTGTTGTTAATCCTCACCTGAGGATATTTTTCCATTAATTTTTAGATAGAGCAGAAAGGAGGGAGAGAGGAAGGAAAGGAGAGAGAGAAAGAGAGAGAGAGAGAGAGAGAGAGAGAGAGAGAAAGGGGGAGAGAGAGACAGAGAGAGAGAGAGACAGAGAGAGAGAGAAAGAAACATCAATGTGAACGAGACACATTGATTGGTTGTCTCCTGCACAACCCTGACCAGAGAGCTGGGGATCAAACCTGCAACCCAGGTATGTGCCCCTGATCAGAAATCGAACCCGGGAATTGAACTGAGACCCTTCGGTCCACAGGCCGATGCTCTTTAAAATTATATTTTATTGAGAAGTTTGCTGCACAAAAACGTAGTGTTTAGAAATATTGCACTCTAAATGTTAGACTGTATAATGCAATTATTTTAAAAGTAACTTAAACTAAAAATGGAAAATAATACAGTGTAAAATTTCTGTTTAGGTAGAGCCCCATATCTCATATAGCATTATTGGGCACTTGGGTTATCATGGCTAAGGATAATCATAATTACATTTTAACTGAAAAAAATCATCCTGGAATTTATTTAAAGTTTTGGGATTCTGAACTCTACTCAAACAGGAATTATTTACCTTAGCTACACATATAAACATAGTTAACAAAAGCATTCCATTTGATTAGCCACTTTCAACTATAAATCTCAAAATGCTTGCAAAACATTGCATCATTGCTGCCTGACTCAGTCCTTCTCAGCAAGGCCGACCCGTGCAAAGACTGGGTGGGAACAGCTACCCAGGGTGTTTTCACAGGCCATGGTGAACCTATAGTTTTCCATTTAAAATTAAGGGTCACAAAAATCTAGCTAATGATAATAAAAGTTATTTTCCTTAAGGTGTATTATTGCTAGTCAGTCCTGTTTTCCAGATGTTTATATCATCAAGGGCCTGTTTATATTTCAATATTACATTACCATCTGTTGGTTACAAAAAGAGAGGGATAATCGTTAAGTTAAACCTTTCAAATATTTCTTTGCAGAGCTGTCAGAAATTCCCAGCAGGGACAGTCAAAAAATAAACATCATTTTACTTGAACTAGGTTTAGATTGGGAACCACTAAACCAGATAACATAAAAATCAAAACCTGCTTTGGCAATAAACTAACAATTTGGTCTTTTCCCTTGGCCATTAAAGGTCACTTCAATAATTTGAATGTCTCCGTGAAGCATTTTCCCTTTGCTGACCCTTATGTTGTTTTGCATGATGTTAAAGTCTATTCATGATTATATTTTGTAAAAATTAGCATCATATATCATTTGGGCTTTTCTGAGTCCTTTACCTCCTGGTTCATAATATTTGGCCTTTCCATACCATGATCCAATGTTCTGGCTTGATCTACAAAAAAAGAGCCCTGAGGAAGTTGTAGTCATTCTGTCTGCACAGCAGGGACTGGGCACTAGAACACCCACATTTCCTGGTGCGGTGGGCACGGTGTCCTGGAACCTGCTTGCTCACTCACCCTTTGTTCCTTTAGAGCGGGTACGCAGCGTTTTGTCTTCAGCCTCTGCATCCATCTATAACACAAACACAGGTCCTGCGGTCATTCGTTTGACATTGACCAAAATGTGAAAACATATCATTAGAACTTCTTAAGGTCATTATGAAAAACAGAGTAAACTTCCATGCACTGGAATAGCATTCTGACTCTGTAGGGACAGAACTGTGACTGCCTTCATTCTCCACGAGTTTTGGAAATACTTCTGCAGATGCTGGAACCAGAGGAATCAGTGACCAGGGGGCAGATGTCCTGGTCCATACATGTTTGTTAGTGATTCAAACACTTCTGGCATTACAAAGACAGAAAAAAGGATTCTCTGATTAACAGTGGTTGTGAAGAACAAAACCTCAAATGGTCAAATCTAAAGGTTTAGATTAAGTTACTAAAACCTGATTCCTTTACATTTTTAGACCTTTTCTGATACATACTTCTTGCCAAGTCAGAAAAAATAATTCCCATGTCAAAAAGCAACATAAAGGCAAACCCCTGAAATGTCCCTTTTTCAAAATACCATTGGAAATGTTGATTAGCAACTATGACATACATTAACTTTAAGAATTTCTGAATATTGATTATAATCATCCAAATCTATAAGGAAGGTGAAATTTGAGTGTTGTGTTTGTCAGTAAATATCACAAAACACCACCACTAAATAGTTTAAGTATAATCAAATACATTATCAGAGGGATGCAAAAACTTTAGAAGCCTATTGTTTCTGTCCACATGGAGATAGATTCTGACCTGAGTACGTTCATCCGTTTCAGTAGATTCGCCTAATAATTTCCTAGTTCAATTCACTTTTAAACATTGTCAGAAGGGTTTCTTAAATGGAAAGAAGTTGCTTTGCTTGATGAAAATCAGATGCAGGCAGAAGGTGCTTTCTGTGGCTCCCATCCTTAAATCCTGACACTGCGTGGAAGCCGTGTGACTGCAATGGTAATGGGAGAAGCATCTCTGCTCTCCGAGACTGAGTTGTGATTGAAGGCACTGACCTGCCATAGACTTATAATAGGGGAGCAGGTGTGGCAATGATGGACTTTAATTTCCTTTAATAAACCTTTTATGTGCCACACTTTTACTGCCATTTGACGCTCTCCAAGGTCCTGCACATAATAGGTTCATTACTTTTGATTACTATAGTCTATTGAGACAAACAACTCCAGAACACACTATATATTATGTTCAGTTAAACCAATATAGACTATTTATCCATTGTGCATTTTTTCACCTGCAACACTACAGACAAAATTAACGATAGCTCTCGTAAGCTAAAACTATTAAAACCACCAGCTCTCTTTTGTCATCCTCTCATAATAAACACCACACCAATCATTGAACTGTTTTTTTAAATTAGCAAACAAAAAGTGTTCACTGCTTTTGCTGAACAGCAGTTGCTTCAGTCTAAATAAAATGGTTCATTGTTATGAATATTTTAAATTACATAGTAAGACAAAACAACGATAAAAAAAAAGGTGTTTTTTTTTTTCTGTAGATTTTCCTTCTCTTAAAACCACACGAATGTATGACAGATGTGACACTGACTAGGATTAAAGCGGCTTGGTTTGCTCAGGATGGTAAGCACTGCGTTGTAAAATCCTCCTCCTCTGTGAATATCTCTGTTGCATATAAAGTGGCTCAACTCATGCAAACTCCCCTTCATGTACTAAACAAATAACTAGATTAAGAGAGATCAGAAGCATTAGGGTTAAAATGATGAAAACCGTCAACTATTTCTGAAGAAGCTACTCCCATGGGTGAGCATCAACTCAAGTCAGGTATAATTCCATCCTGCTACACGGTTACTACTAGCTCTCCCAACCACTCTGAAAAATTTCCCCAAAAGGCAGGTGAAAGTTGAACTCCATAAGTTTCTTCCCCAAAAGTGAAGTGCACACTGCAAAGAGTACCAGTAGACACAAATAAAAGTTTCTGAACCTATTTAAATGTATCCTTCTTTATAATATCTTTAAGACTGGTCTATTTTGCAATTCAGCTATCAAAGGACCTGACCATTCTGTCATCAACTCATGCAATTGCCTCCACATTAAAGTCATTGGAAGGGATGTACAAATATTTTCATAGATCTCTGCTTGACTGTGCTAGGAATGATGGTTTATAATTGTATTTTGTGGAGCTACTGTCTTCTTGTTGGTGTAGCATGTACGTCCTATATAAATACTGTAAACACTGATACTCATTTATAAAATGAAGTTTTCAGATTTAACCTGTGGGTCAAGTTGTAGGAGCAAAGTGGACCAAGGCCATAGTATACAACCTATCAATTTTACCTCTTTGTCTCCTCACACCTAAAAAATAATAAAAGTATGAAAATCAGTGTCCAGTCACATCTTACAGTTTGTCAGGGAGTGAAAACATCAGAAACCTAAAACACATGGGCTTTTCTTTTGGGGGTGGTGGAAGTTTTTAACATTTATGAAATGGCTTGCTCATCTCATAAATCTCAATTCAAAAATAAGTCTTTGTTCTCTAAAATCTTGAATATGGCAGTAAAAATTTCTAAGTGTTATTTTAAATTATTCTCGAGAACTTTAATAAATTGCAAAAGAATAACCTTAATATTTGTATAAATCAAACCTCATATTCAGTGTTTACTTCATTTTGGTAATGGTTGATGAAAGGTAGAAAGAGCCTTGTAGCTCAGTGCATGTGTTGAGACCTGGGGGTGGGGAGAGGAGTGAGGATCACCATCTTTCAACTCCTCTTAGGGTTCTAGAACAGGCACATGGTTATGGAATGAAGCAGGACACTGACTTAAGTAACGGGCTGCAATCTTAAAAACAACATTTCCCATTGGGAACATTATTATTATTATTATTATTATTATTATTATTATTATTTTTCATTTGAAAAAGGAGACGATCATTTTTACTACTTAAGTACCAAATGTTATTGGCAAGTCTGCAATTAATTTTGTAAAAATTTAATGAGTCACTTCTTTTTTCAAAACAGAAATGTGATTACCTAAAAAGCTGCCCTTCTCTGGGTTTTTTAGGGCCTTTACCTGTCTGAGATTCCCGTCATCGCCCCTCCTGGCCTTGCAGTCTACTCAGCAGAGTAACAATGTTAAAGGCAGGCTTTACCTTATTTTTGTTGATTTGAAACTACTTTCTTAAAAGTTTATTTAACTTATAATCATGGGTATGTTATATATTATATTTATATAGAAAGGAGAAAAAACGTGGTTATTGCTTGGTATCAAGTTTATAGTAAAGGCATGAAGAGAACTTTAAGAACACTTCATTCCCCAGCTCTCTGGCAAGAGGACTTAATACAAGGATGAATGACAAGAGGGAAAAAATTATAAAATAAAGAAGGCAAAGAAGCAAATTTGGAGGAAGGACATGTAAAAACAAACAATGGAAATAAGTAGATAGGCAATGAAGAAGAAAAAATGACCATAAAATATAACTTAACCACTTAGTTGAATTTGGAAAGCTCTTATTTAACATCTTTATATACTTATAAACCTACATACAGGTAGGTACAGTAATTTCTTAGTTGCTTGTACTTGACTAACTTTTCTTACTAGTGCTTAGTGCTTACGTAGGGGACAATCACCTGATGTCCTGTCCACAGCACGCCGGTGTAGAGATCTGGTGCCTTCCCTTCCACTGACTAGGGAGTTCTATAGTGACCATTTTGTGAGATAGATTCAAGGAGCAGGACACATAATTCATAAACTCAATTTGGCTTTTATTTACACAAGTACATTAGTGGTATGTAAGTATATTTAACTTGGCTTTATTTTTCACTCATAATCCTATTTTAATCTAATGGTAAAAGAAAAAAATCTAAGTAAGTATGAATATTTTTAAAATTTCTGCTTCTCTGATCTATTTATTTATTTTCTTTCATTTTATATTGTATTGGTTTCAAGTGTACTGCTTAGAGTTAGACAATCATATACTTTACATAGTGTTCCCTTTGATATTTCCAGTACCCTAATTAGCAATATACATAGTTATCACAATATTATTTAGTATATTTCCTTTGATTTACTTAATTACTTCTTAAGAAATGAATAAACCAAATCTTTTTGTGATGTTTAAGTTTTATATCTTCTTCAACAGAACTCTAGACACATACATCCTCACCACTTGTTTATAAATAGTCTTGTGTTTCTTAATATTAATATAAAAAACCATGGTGGTCATAAGGTTTTGAGGACACTTTCTCAAAATCCTTATAAAATTAATCTTTATACTGTCTAGGTATGCAGGAAACTGTATTAGATTTGAAAAGTCCTTCACATACACTCAGTTTGCAATCGTTTGACTTTTAATAAAATTTGACTGTGTGCCTCTCCTGATATTTTTGAACTGGTCATGTAGTTCTGTATGTCGTGACACATTAGTCTTGTGCGATGTCATTTCAGTCCTGGGGATCTCACTGCAATGGTGGGAGGAAGCGCGGTGGGTGCCAAGATGTCCCAGGTCCTCTCGATGAGGAGCCCTTAATCCTCCCTGGATGCTTCCTTTGCAAAGATCAATTTTGTTTAAATGACAGAGAAACTCAGGAAGTCAAAAAGGACAAAAACCCCCAAATGAAACAACTACATGATGCCAGTACCTTGGAACAGAATTTGGCTAGGTTGAAGAACAAAGAGCCCTACACTGAGTGCTCTTTCTTGGGATAATTCTGGCATCATTTTGTTTGAACACAGCTTTGGATTAGCCCAAAATGGCAGCAAAAGATGTTTGTTTCCCTGTTACGCAGGGCAAGGGTGAGGGTAATAAGTTGTGATTCTAAAAGAATAGTTGACTTACTGAGAGGAACACTAGGATAGAATGTTCAAGCATGTTTTTCTCTATCTGCACCCTCTTCTGACTTTTCTGTTGTTGTTTTTTTCATACGTTTATTAAACACTCAGGAAGAGTAATTCAGAAAATAAATATTCAAAAAGTCTAAACAAATAAAAACAGGATTTTTATATCATTTGTGACAACATATCTATAATTTAAAAAATCTTTCCTGAATCCTTTATCCTAAATAAAATAAATATTTTTTTGAAACTTTCAGTTAGGGCACATTGACTCTGATTTCAAGTCTCTGTTCCTATCTGTCTCTTATTGTACTGTCTTTGACTCTGTAGAAAGCCAAAAAATTGCGTAATGTCTACCTTTTACATTTATGATGCCTCTCATTGTCTCCACTGATCCCTCGCACCCCCAACAGACACCATACTTAAAGAAGCAGATTCAGTCTGTGCTCAGATTCAGCACAGTTTTCCGGGAACAGCTCCTCCTGAGGGCCAAGTGCATGCACATTTCTGCCATGAGGTGATTTTCTAGAGTCACTTGGAAATGCACAAAGAAATCTTAGACCTGAGACCAGTTGTTTAGCATTCTAAGGAGGCTGATCTATTTTGATTCTCACTCTCATTTCTGAGTCGTCACTGCTGCCGTAGACTTCATCCTGTAACTTCGCACAACTGGCAATGCTGAATATAAACCAAAGCCATATGTTTGTGTCCTTTTGCCAAACGACTCCAGCAAATAGTTTTATTATTCCCTTAGGTAGCCAACGTGTGCCAAGGTTTTCTATTAGTTGTCATGCCATGGCCTCTGAGTCACAGCTTGGTAACATAAGGGGGCAATTGCTGGCTTTATGTTTTAGGAGACATTTTTTTTTTTTTGGTATTATTTTAGTGTGCCCTGTTTAAAAATAACTCAGAGTTAGTAACACCTTAAAAGGCCCTTACATTTTTTTCATGCTGATATTTTGAGATACACATGTTGCAAAATATGTAAATCTTAGCGAACAAGTTCCTTCATATATGGATAAATTATTTTAAATATATTTTCCCCCAAGGACTACCTAATTTATTACGTTTCACATAGTGTTTTTTAAAACACTCTTTTAAAAGATATCATTTATTTACTTTTAATCCTTAGGTAATTAATTTCTAATAAAAATTAAATTGAATTTTTAATACTGTTTCAACACTGAACCTTTCTTTAAGGGCAAATCTGTGAACAAGTAACACACACAATCAATATGTAAAAGGTTTTTAGGCTCAGAGGACTTCTTCACCTGCTTAATATTTTTAAATATTAAAGTGACCATGTTTCTGACAAAAATCACAATCCTAAATTCAGCACTAACAATAACTACTTTTTCATAGCAAATCCACAGAGATAAAGCACTGTTTGGTATATAGTAAAGCCTTTATGTAAATGCTTTAATTGGATTCATTTTCTTTTAATATATTATACTTTTTCATAAAAACGTTGCCTTACCTCTCTTTTTCTCCAGGTAACTTGTATACCAATGCAGTTTGACCTGCTTCTTTTCAATGACTAAATGTCTCTGCCCACTTCAGTGAGAAATTCTAAAATTCATTCTATGAAGATAAAAAAAGAACGGAAGTGTAGCAGGTAGAACAAACTAAATAGAAGATCACTACTAAACACTGATGTGAACAATTAATGATGTGTTGACATTTTTACTTATAATTTGGTTGGACTATACTATAAAAAAATAAAAAATCATATACTACATATCAGTGTAAAAATATTTTTACTTTTTAAAAGGTAGGCCAAATTCATTTTTGTCTTTATTATCAAACTATATATATGATGTCTTCAATTTACCAGGGAAGCTGGATACAAAAGACTCTCTGTTAGTACTGTTATTTTACTTTTAACCACCAAAAGAAAAAGCACAGACAAGATTTGGATCATGCTACACTCAAGTCACAAAAGAGATTCAAAATCCATCCTGTTGTTATTTTCGGGCCTCTTTAATGACGCCGTCATATAATGCTACTAATTCTTTTGGCCAATGTTTTAACCTGTTTTCCTTGGAAACAACTTGCCCTTGGTCTGCTTTGCATTCAGACATCATATGCAGAGTGGCTTCTCTTCTATTTGGTCTCAGGGATAAGAACAGAATCTGTCTACAGGCCATTTGGCCCTTGAGAGGAAACTTTGAAATTCAGTGTAGTACACTCAGCATACTAGAGGGGCTGGTTATAAAAATAACACGTACATCAACACAGATTTAAAATGTTTATATCTGGCAGTTCTGGTATTTTAAAACACAAACCACCAACCTTCCTTGCAGAAGATTTCTCTCGCCTGTGTTTTTTTACCCTTCGCAGTGGATGGAGGTGACCAGCAGATTAACCATAGATTTCTCTATTACTTGTAAGCTTTGATCAAACATTAAGCAGATGCTTCTTCAACTCCAGTCCGCAACTGTGGTTCCTGGGAAAAATAGGGACAAAACTCTCTCAAGTGATAGAGCAGATTACTGCACATGATGTAAGAATTGAAAAGTAGGACGGGAGTTTGGGAATTCTTAGTTTGTGTTTGATTGCAACCAAAAAAATAAATAAAATAAAAAGGCTTTCTCTACACATGTGTTCGGCTTATTCCACTTCACCTTCAGCTCAGAAAGAGTTCTGAAGCTTCCACCTGCCTACTCCCCTTTGTTTGCCAGACTGGAACCTAAAACAAAAGATCCTGGAAAACAGTCACATTGGCGAGCAAAGCTCTTTCTAAATTCTAAAAGTAATGCCTTTTTGTCTAATACCCTATCGTGTTATGTATTTATTAGCAATACATTTTCCATTTATTTTCTCAAAGATTGCCAATAAAGAACTGAATCACATAAGGGAGTAGCTGTAAACCCTCTGAGTTCCCTAATGTCAAAGTCATTAGCATCCGAATAAGCACACAGCAGCACATCATCTGCACAATGCAATTTTTTACTACTTTTAATAGCGTTCCTCAAAGGGCTCATTTTCAACTTTCTTCAGTGGTTAGTTGGTTCTCAGGGGAAAAGTAGCTTCCTGATGCTTGCAGCTTCCACTCAGCAACCTGGCCATTTGCTGTCAGAGGCATCAGCCCTCTGCCCTCACCCATCTGCTGTCTCTCCCCTCCCTGGGGAGGAGAGTTAAGGCAGCACAGCTGAGATCGACTTGAGAAGTGTGCAGAGGGCTCGGACAAAATACAACTTTAGAAACATGGTTTGATACACACAGCCTCTTAAAGCCCAAGTACACTCAGTACATATGGAAAGTACAAGCCCTCCAGAGGCTCCCCATTCCATGTGTCTATCATCACTGACTCTACCCACCCTCTTCTGGGAAACACACCCTTGGCTGCTACCAAAAGGAATCTTCTACTGAAATCAGTTCCCTCCATCCGTTCATGTGCCCTATTATGTCAAGGCAGTCCCTTTAAAACCTCAGTTTTATTAACTGCCACACTTGAATCTCTTTTTCTGATCTTAAACCATTTTATAACACGTAAGGTCTTGCTAAAATATTTATAGAAAACACGCAGTTTGGAAGACAGTTAACCTAAGACTTGGAATCTTGACCAAGCTCCCGCACCTGGCAGTAGAGTTAGTTCTATCTGTGCATTGAAGCTCGTATTTTTATAAAACAGCAATCTCAAGAGAGAAAACTACATGACAACCAAGGTTTTAGTAAGCTAATGGGCTACAAAATCCTTAAGTGTGCTCTCTAATTAAGACATGGCTTTACTTGTTTAATGGAGTCATCACAAAGTACTCCATTTGTCCGCTTTACTTTATGCCAATAATTAGGGACTCAGTTCTTTACAGCTGCTTCATGGGCGCGTACCTGCTTCTGAAAAAGACAGCTTTGTCAACCTGTGATACAATGTAATAATCTGCTGTGCTTTAACAAAAAAGTACGTCATATTATATTTTATTGGGAGGCGTGAATAACCTAAAGTGTTGTATGATGTATGTCAATTGTATCCTTTAAGCAGATAATCAAAGATCTATCTGTGTTTCAAAAAAACACAACAACAACAAAAAAAAAATGAAACAAGACCTGCAACATTAAAAACTTCTCCACCTAAACTCAAAGTAAAAAATTTGATGGAAAGGCAAATAAATTTAATAGGAAATGTACGTAGCACTTGTAGCCCTGTAATATAATACGAGCTTACCACAATCACCAATTTGTTTTTGGACTTTGCTGTTCTGTTTCAGTCAGGTTGCAAATGCATAGCAGGATCCTCTCACAAACTTGGAAAGTTAATACAAGCTGCAAAGACCACGCTCAGATTTAGTTTCTTAAGGAGCAAAATAAAAGCAGAAGAGTGCGGAGGTATTTACCTTAGCATTGCTACCCCTGAGACCCTGTCTCCGCAACTTCTAACAGTTATAGTCTCTTAATCACTCTGCTCACCTTAATATCTTCACCAACTGTTCATTAGTTGGAATGATGAAAGTGGGGGGGGGGGGGGCTTCTCATTTGTTTATTTTGTGAATGGTAAAGTAAGTCCTTTACAGATCTAACTTTCAGGTTTATTTTTATATTAATCAGTGTAATATTTTAAGTTAGAGTTAAATTCTGCATAAACCTTAATGATATCTATGCCTGGACAATCAAATTCATTGATTTTTCCATTTCCCATTTTGCTGTATTAAATTTCTAATGAAAATTTAAGCCCCTTATTTTGGAGTTTCTAATCAATGAGCTATAGAACTGGTTTTCCCATTATAGCAAAAGGTATTAAGAAATTGATTTATAGCCCTGGCCGGTTTGGCTCAGCGGTTGGAGCGTCCGCCTGCGGTCTGGAGAGACCCGGGTTCGGTTCCCGCCAAGGGCACGTACCTCGGTTGCAGTTTGTCCCCGGCCCTGGTTGGTCGTGCGGGTGGCAGCCACTCGATGTGTCCCTTTCACATCGATGTTTCCCTCTCTCTCTCTTCCTCTCTCTCCCTCCCACTCTATCTGTACAAAAAATGGAAAAATGTCCTCGGGTGAGGATTAAAAAAAAAAAAAAAAAAAAAAAAAGAAATTGATTTATAAAAATTATGTAAGCCTACTGCCACTTTATACCTATGCCATCAAAGATGACGTTTCTATACTTAGCTCTCCAGGTTGATATTAGGGGATATGCTCCATTGGCTGGAGCAGATGAAGAGAAGTGGTGAGTTTCATTTAAGTTGTTTTAGGCAAAGAAAAATACTGTTATGGGCCACAAGCTTTCCTGTACCATCAGCCCATAATCAGGCTCCTGATCATAGTGAGAGTAGAAAAAAAGGCTTCATCCAAATGGAACTGTTCTGAAGGAAAAGGCACTCCCATTGTAGAGTGAACCCGTGGTACCTCTTACTTTTAGGGAGGATGTTTTGAATTTTACATCATTATGCCCGGGCTGGTTTGGCTCAGCAGTTAGAGCATTGGCACGCGGACCAGAGTCCCGGGTTCGGTTCCTGCTAAGGGCGCATGCCTCGGATGCAGTTTGTCCCCGGCCCTGGTTGGGGTTGTGTGGGTGGCAAACACTCGATGTCTCTCTCTCTCTCTCTCTCTCTCATTGATGTTTCTCTCTCTCTCTTCCTACCTCTCTCCCTCCTGCTCTGTCTGAAGATACAGTCTTCCCTCGTTTATCACAATTAACCTATTACAGACTCTAACATTTGCATCTGGTGTTGAAGGATTCCTGGGGTGCTCGAATACATAGACCTACAGTCCATACGTACAGTGATTTTAGTTGTAATTGTAATACAGGGGTGTATAATTAACTCAGACAACCGAGTGCATGCTGTGTCATTTTCACTGTCTCGAACAACTTTTTAATGAATATATTAGGAAAAAACACAATAGAGTGAAGTCACGAAGCGCAAAGTGGCAAGGGATGACTGTAAATGCAAAAAAAAAAAAAAAAAAAAAAATAGATAGGCCTGGATGGTTTGGTTCAGCGGTTGCAGCATTGGCCTGTGGTCCAGAGAGACCCGGGTTCGGTTCCCACTAAGGGCATGTACCTTGGTTGCCGTTTGTCCTTGGCCCTGGTTGGGCCCTGTGGGAGGCAGCCACTTGATGTGTCCCTTTCATGTCAATGTTTCTCTCTCTCTCTCTCTCTTTCTCTCTTCCTCTCTCTCCTTCCCTCTCTATCTGAACAAAAAATGGAAAAAAGTTCTCAGGTGAGAATTAAAAAAAAAATAGATAAATCATTATATATTCAGCAAGACTAAGTCTTTGATATTAGCAATTGAATTGCTTTTCATTATCCATTTTGAATATTTTTTTGCTTCCTCGAGTGGTCACTGAAGTTCCAATATAAATAAAACTTTTTATTATTCAATATAGTCTGTCATTTTAAAAGAACAAAATAAAAATTTGTCCATGTACAACATTTCCGCTGATGGATTTCACGGATTTGTACTGGTTTGCCTAGCTTTTTGAAATCTCTGCCCTATAGATTTTTTCGAGGAATTTGAAGTACAAGAAGTGCTATGGCAACCCAGAAAATGCAATTTTTGTTTTGCAAATTGCTGAAGTCATACCGAGCACCGAGCATCAAAACAACTCCTGGTTCCACTGTTCTACACATGAAGTAATTGTCCCTGTCCTTGTCCTAGCAGGCATTAGAGCAGTTGTGTCTGTCCTCCAGCACCTGTGAAAGGAGAGCACAGGCCTCTTCTCCCGAAACTCAGAAGCAATGCCAATAACTTGTGCAGGACCCACGTTTCTCATCACAAGAGGATCTGACTTTCACCTGATTTAAGTAACAAACTAGCCCTCAAAGATACTTAAAGCCTTGCTGCAATTAACATAACTGCATTTAGATGCCATTCATGACTGATAATTCCAACACCTTGTGGGAAAAAAAGTTGCATGCTGTAAACATTATAAACATATTCAAATAAGCTTAACACAATCTGCCATGCTTATTTCTGCCTAGATCATGGACCAGTGAAATGGTTAATGCAAATGGATTTATAATTTGCTTTGGGGGGCCAGTTTCTTCTCCTTATTTATTAGCCCAGCTGATGGGGCAGATTTGATGAGGCACTTCTGGAATAATTGAGTCATCACACAAAGAAGGCTGCGAGCATTCAGAGTGGTTTTATCAGCAGCAAGCAGGCCTGATTACTGACAATTACACTCTGATCCGGTGATGGAGGAGAAAGAGCCAACGAGTGGGAAATGTCCGTGTTTCTATCCAGGAATAATTTCTACATTCATTTTACATGCTAAGTGTTTCCTATCTCTGCATAATAAACTGTAAACAGGAATAGATGGCACAATGTCCCTTAATATTTCCTGGTAATGAAGACACAAATGTACAGTGAGTGCTGATAAATATAGATGAAACATAAGCTATTCTCCTAGTCTGTATTGTTACCTTTAAAACAAATGCATTTTTGTGGTAAAAGCATAATCATAGCTAATGCAAAAAAATGACAGAAGATTGAAACTGTCCTTGTAACTACATAGAAACTTTGTAAAAGTCCTGTTAATCACCTGCTGCTTTAAAGGCTTAGGAGTGAAGGTGAGATACAAGAAACCACCTCATTTTGTTTCTCAACAGTCAACTGTGAAGAACTCCTTGGATTAGACATGGCAAGAAACAAAGCTGAAAGTGACCTCCATTAACATTCAGAGAGAACGTATCTCAATACTACACTGAGAAACAAGAAAGCTGGCTCAAGGAGACACCTTCACCATCACGAATGTCCATTTCCCTTCCATCCGGCCTGTCAACAAAATGTTGACCAAGAGTAATAAAGTTAGACCTAAAACTCATGCTTTGTCACGTAGAGCCAGGCACTGCGTCTTTTGTGTAGCACTTTCCACCACTTGCTTTTGATATGGCTTATTAACTAAACACTACAAGCAAAAATGCATCTCACGGAGATATCTTATTAAAATAGCTTTTCAGAATCTAGGTTGAAATGCCCAGAGGAAAGAATGCTCAGATTTCTTAATGTGCCGCTATAGATTTTAGTGGAAAAAACTTTAATTTCCTATAATATCAAGAGTTTCTTCTTCTAAAAAGCCAACCAGGTGTGGAGCTGCACATAATAAACCTGTTGGGGTCTGTTTGTTTAATTCTTTTCCTAAAACCCCTTCCTGGCTTCCAAAGAAATAAAAGTTATCCTCTGTTCTTTATGGTAGCTATGGAAACTCTGTTTTATTAAACTAACCACTTAACTTCAAGGCTTGTATTGCAACGAAATGTGCTATTTTGAGTAAATCTATACTAAACATGCATATAATGTCAAAACATTTTAAGTAAAGTTCAAAGAGCACTTGTTGCTTCAAAAATGAGGCTTTTTATTATGTAAAGGGAATTTTCTCTTTTCAAGCTATTTTATTATATAGATTGTTACATAATATGTTTGATTTCATTAGATAGTTTCTATTTTCCTTATCCATTTTATGAGGTTTTTTAGAATTTTTTCAACCAGTCTGTTGTTTTTCCCAACCGTAGCTGTTTGGTTTTCATTAAGATTTCGTTTTTAAAAAAAGTCATTTATCTTCATTATCTGGGTATGAAATATGGAAAGGGAGAACCTGCTGAAATTTTCAAAGAAAGTGACAACATTTTTCATTTTAAGGAAAATGGGGCACTGAATTTTTGAAGAATTTTAATCTCACTGTAGTGTTTAATTTAATATGTATTACTTTAATACAAGTAATTTTGTCCTAAAAAATGTACTTGTTATTGGTTCGATACACATTCGTCTAGCATAGATTGCTCTATGCTGGCCAGTGGAAATGAAGAGACATCGAAAGCACAACGCTTGTCCTGACAAGTACAAACCAGCAAACAGGATTCCGGTAAGATGTGGAAAGTATGACAACGGAGGGAGGCAGAAGGAGAAACGGGACTGCAGGCTTAGACCAGACTGGAAAAGCTTCCAGAAATGATGATTACTGAAGAATTCATCCCTAGAGAGATTCAGAGAACTTTAAAATAAATAAATATCCCCAAAGACCAATTGGAAAGATACAGAGTCAAAATTGTACTTGGCTTGATTAAACAATGTATTAAGCCATATAGTTACAAAAGGGTCAAAGGAGAGTAGATGGTCAAAATTAAATGTATAAAATAAGTGTTGAGAATTTGTCAATTTCATTTGTAACTTTCAGAGAAACGTTTCCCTTCAGTGTCAGAACAACAAAATCTATCCACTGAAATGCGATTTATCATTCACGTTGTGGTTGTGACAGTATTTCACAGAATTCTGTATCCCAAAAGTGTTTCCATGGCAGCTTCGTCTAACTACTGTGCTCAGCCTGATATTATACTCACTCATGTCCACTGACTTCTCTCTGTCAGTATAAGCTCATAGAAGTGACAGGCTGTGTCTTGTTAACCTGGTACTGCAATATAATGTAACCAGAGCAGGTGCTCGATACATTATTATTATATTCAATTGAAGCAAATAAACAAAATAATCTTCTTCAGATGCCTGAGATATTATTTTATTAATTGTATTTCAATACAAAACATCCCAGATACACAGCATCTGGGATTCTGTAGATTTAGTGTGTCACCACTATGCCAGCTAAAGAGAACGTACAATTTTATCTTCCCTTATGTTGGAATTGTCAGCTTCCAAATGCAAAGAAGAGCAAGCATGACCATTTTATGGTCAGATTTTACCCAATGTCTACTTTTACTTAATTTATATAAAAAGAACAGTTTATGATGTAATTTGGTTCTTTGGTGGGAATAAAACCCAAAGGTAAATAGAGATATAGCCTTATTTTTCCAAATCTGGCAAGAAAATAATCTAAAAAGATCTCCAACTCATTCAAACTATATCCAGGTCCCAGTTTTTTTTTCTTTTTTAAAAATGTTTTTATTGATTTATTAGAGAGACAGGAAGGGAGAGAGAGATGGAAACATCAATGGGCTGCCTACTGCATGCCCCCTACTGGGGATCAAGCCCCAAACCCTGGAACGTGCCCTGACCAGGAATTGAACCAGGCCCTCTCAGTCCATGGGATGACATTCAGTCCACTGAGCCACACTGGATGGGCCAGTTCCCAGTTTTTATACGTCACTTTTCTTACTCATAATGTGTCAGAATGTCCTGACTATTATGCACTTGCATTTTATTTTCAGCAAGGCATATCCATGTACTCCAAACTAATGACTTTTGTAGTGGAGATAAAATAGCACTAACCATGAGGAAAGACCAAATAATCTATCCTTTTGATCAAAATAGCAAACGACAGTATTTTCTGACTAAATATAGCTCACCTTTACTAAACTTCTAACAAGAACCATCTGTAAGTATCAACACGCACTCTTTCCTTAGTCACAGTGGCCTGCCTGTGGGGAAGGGGTTATCAATTTTACATGTGATGAAGGGGACAAAGTGAGCTCACTTCCTTACCCACTGTTCCCACCAGTAGCTAGATGTTCCAATAAAGCATGTAGTCATTTGCATCTTGGATTACGGTGTTTGCATAAATATCATGTGTAAAATTAGTTTTGGTATTCGTTTGGGAGGGGTATCATAAAGCAGAAGAGAGAAAGCTCAGAGTTGGTGACAATCATCATTAGAATCTACAAATGAATATGGCATTTCCTAAAGACCATCAGTCTTGGGCTCTCAAAAAATGTTGCTCCTCTTCATTCGAACACTAGAAATTCTTCACAGAATTTACATTTCCAGTTGCAAAATATATCTTATCTATTGGTTGCCTTATTTATCCTCTGTATTAGTTTTCTTTTGCTGTTGTAACAAATTTTCACAAACTTAAAGGCTTAAAACAACACAAATATGTTATTGTGCAGCTCTGGAAGGGAAAGTCTGGTACGGTTTCACCAGGCTAAACTTAAGTCAGGCCACAATGTCTTCTGGGGGCCGCAGGAAAGAATTCATTTCCTTGTTCATCTGGGCTGTTGGCAGCCTCTGTTTTTTTGAGATTCTAGGGCTGAGGTCCCTTTTTTCTTGCTAGCTGTAGGCTGAGAGCTGTTTTTAGGTTCTAGAGGCTCTGCATTCCTTGACTCATAGCTCCCTGACCCCATCTTCAAAGAGGGTTGAGTTTAGTTCTTCTCAAGTTGCATCTCTGACTCATTCTTCTGCCTTTTTCTAAGAACAATGTGATTAGTTGGGCCTACCTGGACAATCTCTCCATTTCAATGTTCTTAATTTAATCACTCTGCCTTATAAGGTAACATATTCATGGGTTTCAGGAATTAGGACATAGATATTTTGGGGGGGAGGTATTATTCTATCTACCACATTCCTTAGCTACATATGTGAATTCTGACTGTGTTAAAGTATTAATGCTCTTTATATGAGACATGTGGAGTCATAGGTCAAGACGAACACTCCTCAAAAATATATATAAATAAAACTCAAATTACCATATGATACAAACATTAATTAAATCAAGGATCTTTGATTGTCCCCTAAATACAAGTTCCTTAATGTCTGAAGTTTTTCAAGGGCATTGAAAGTTAGAAATTACTTCTCTTTGGGGGGAGGTTTAATTTTCAATAGTCTTCACTTACCTTCAATAATATCCATTGGATTTGAACTGGACAGTTTTCATTGCTACTGATGAGAAGCATCATCAGAGAAAAAATAAAAAGAAGAAAAAAAGAAAAACTTAATTAAATGGTAATTATGTACAGCTTATTGACTATATAAAACAATCCTTTCAAGTAATTTACATACTGACTATTCATTTATGGGTTTGGGTTACGACCAATCTTCAATAGTCAAACAAAATATTCCTTTGAAAGAACTCTCCCCAACAAGCAAAACAAGTGTCTACTATTATCAGAAAATACTTTTTAAATTTGAGCCCTTTTGTATTTAAGTACATTTGAGAACCTTTTCTGGGACACACCTGAGGGTGAAAGTAAAAATTATCAATGACAGCCTTTTTAAAAAAAAAAGAATCAGTGGTTTAACACTAATTTCTAATCAGATCCTACAGAAAGGAACAGCTCGCATGGCAGCTGTACTTTTCCCAGGGTTAATTACCTTTCACTGCTCTCTGCTAATGAGTCAGCTGTTCCTGTCACCACACACTACACTGGTTCATCTGGAGTTCTAGCTGTGGACAAACACCGAGTGACAGTCCTATTTACATATGGGGGTGTTTGTTGTGCAAAATTTCAAAAGGATTTTTTTAATCCTTTAATTCTCATGTGTTTTCATGCTAAAAATATTTTTACAAATCAGATTTTACTTGGTTAACTATTCTTTTCCTCCCAGGCCACTGTATTCACTAGAAAATGTAAAATGCCAAATGCTTAGAATGAAGCAAACTCCATCGCCCCCACAGAAAGCCTATCTTACTGATTCCTTAGCATCAAAACAATTACCCTATCCAAGACAGAGCCTTGAAAATCTGCAGGTTACTTCAGTGGTTAAACAACTTTCTGAAAAGGTTCACCACAGAACATTAAAGTCAGAGGTGTTGAAAATAATCTAATGTGAAAAGACACAAAACATCTTAGATTTATTAGTATATGCAAAATGAATGAGAAAATTGTTTTTTTTTTTAAATTAGACTTAAAACCTATGCTTTCATCTAATGTCTAAATTATTGTGTGATATATATGTATATATGATCTATACATGATATGGGAATATATATATCATATACCTATACACATGATTTATTAACCAGATAATAGCTCTGCTACCCAGATAATGGCTCTGCTTCCATCTCATAACCTACACAGTGTGTCTTTATATATTTTTTAATATTACAGCCAAGAGATTTACACATTTCTTTCCCCCGCATTTTTTTTTTTTTTATTTCAGAGGGAACTGAGAAGGATAGAAAAATCAGTAAAGTATCCACTGAGTTCCACTTTGACAGCCTCCAAAATGCCTCTGAATAGAGGGTCCTCTCCCACTGGTAACTTTCCTGCTGTAAACCTTAGATCAGTGGCTTTCAGATTTTAATGTGTATCAGGATCACCTGGGCATCTTATTACACTGTAGGTCCTGATTCCGGCACCCTCAGGTCTGACAGTGCTAATGACGGTCCAGTTGTTCCTGCTGCTGCCTGGACCACACGTTGCAGCGGTGTCAGAGCTGTGGTTCTGAAACTCTGCTGGCATCAGAATTACCTGCAGGGCTTGTTAAAGCCCAGGGTCCTGACTCAGAGTCTGCACACTTCTATCAAGTTTTCAGATGATACAGGTGCTGATGGTTTGGGCACCTAACTTCGAGAACCGTTGCCTTCGATATTTACTATTAGATGCATTGAAAAAACTCAGTTCCCAAAGGTTAAATATATTCACATGGAAGAGAAGCACTTCCATTACATTCCAGAGCTATTTGTTTGCTTTGTTTTTTAATACTTTATGATAGAAAAGAATAGATAAAAAGTGAATGTTCTGGCCCATCATTGAAGTACATTCTGAGAACCACTTTATAGTTTACTGAACTTGATCTTTCCTTCAGATGAAGCTATTCATGTCAAGAAAGAAATAGCAATTATGTACTTCTTCATTACAGGTGCCATTATCAAATGTAATCTCACATATTACAAATCTAAGACTGTCAATATTTAAATTTTCCAAAAGCAAATAAAATATGAAAATGAATTAACTGAAAATTATAGCAAAAACAAATTTCAATGTCAAGCAATGATACAAATTTCCTCGAGGCATTCATTATTTTGCCAGCTCTAATAAATTCTTATTTTCTAAATGGGTATGAGTGTCTTATAGGTATACACTATGTGAAGTGTTCTTTTCATTGTTGTTTTGAAGAACATTATCCTGAAAACTTCTTGAAGAAAGAAGAGCCTTTTGGTCTAATACTAAAAATATATTTAAATTGCTGCTCATGTAAATATCTCAGCGATAAACCTCTTACAAGGATATTTTGCTATGTAATTCATAGGAATAGATATATTAGGAAGAGGAGAGTGCAACCAGCTGGTAATAAGATAAATTACAGAATGAAACATTGCTGAGTGTGTTTCAGTAAAGAGATGGAGAGTGATCTTCCAAACAGCAAGTTACCCTCTGATTAGAAGTTAGCATTGGTCTGCTCAACCTAGGAAAAACTATTCATTGTGCTGAAACCTTAACTTATTAAATAGCACTGCAGTAAAGCCGGAAGAATATGGCTTAATGTAAGAAATATCAGTAAGCACATAAAAAAGATTTTAAAGGAATAAAGGCCACTTCTGAATTCTCACTGCTCCTTATTTGATGTTTATTAACAAAGCTATTTTAAAATTGTCAAACTTATCTAAATATAAGAAGATGATAATGTCACAAATAAGGAATTTGATTGTATCTGTGTAACCAACACTTTTAGTATATAACAGTATTATTTAATAAATTTACAATTTATGTGCTCAAATCTTCATTAAGCACCTATTCTTCTGGAGAAGAGGAGAAATTGTTTACATGTACAAGTGGAGTCCTCAGTAAGTGGAGAGGGGTGTATGATTTGTGCCACTCTAATAGTGTAAACATTTCTGTTGTAGGAACCAGAGAGACAATAAAATAAAATCTATGAGGAGATGTGGGTGCTCAATCTCTTTTTTTTTGGTAACTTAGGGAAATAATCTTATGGGTTTGTTAAAAACTCTCCTCCAGAAGTACAAATATCAGGGTACAGAGTTGGAGTAAATAACTCATAGCCATGCAAATGTAGATGAGAAATGCACATTGTTTTCATGGGCTGAGACTTCATGTGAATTTCGAGATCCTAAACTGATCTCTCTCCTTGGATGATTTTTAAGTTACAATGAATCAGACTAAATAAGTGCCTTTGGTCATTTAAACATCTGGTTTTACAGTAGTCTCATGTGATTAATCAAAGGTCAGTACAGTTCATATCAGGCATTTTGTCCTATGCTTATCCAATTCAAGTCTATTATTTTTATTGGCTTTTATTAGTCAGTTGGTTTCTCTCTATATCACAATGATTCAGTAGCTGTAAACAGATGACCAAGGGAATCTGACCTTAGTTTGCTGTCAGAAGTAGCAGAATACATATTTTTTAGCTACATTAAAATTTTCCTCCCAAAAAATATATGTAAGAAGAAAATGCCTCAGAACTATAGAATCCTTGCTTTCAAAGTTTTGAAATTTTTGTAAAAGATTTGTAAATTTTATTTACACAATGTTTTCAAAGTGAATAACAAGAATATTCACAAAATGAAGATTTTGCCTCAGAGTAATCTGGATAGGTTTCCTTTTATTTTGTTAAGTCTTCTTGTCCCACATCTGGTTCCTTGTTCCCACAGGGAGATATTCCTACTCCTATAATAGCACCTGGCCCATCATAATGAATTGTTGACATGTTCATCGTCTGCTTTAGTTTGAAAAGTTCCTACAAGACAAGGACAATTTCCTTTTTGCTTGCCTTTCCTGGACAAGGTACTCAATGAGAGTGTTGACTATTTGAGTATCTGTTGACTATTTAAAAAAATAGGGAACTATGATGAGTTCACTGCCTCTGTGATAATAAATTTTAGGAAAACAATAGATCAAATATTTGCAGATAAAACATGAAAAAATCTATAGCATGTAGCAAAAAGTTATGCTGGTGACAACATATAGTTCAAATTAGCTTATAGACTAATAAATGTAATGCTTAAAGTAGATTATTATATTATTGATTTCATACCTGAAAACTAATAAAGTAGAAAATAACAACCTTATGAACAGTTTACTTGTAAATTGAGATTCATTTTACAAATTTAAAACATGGACAAAAAGCATATGTAATACTGCTATGTTCTTAACACATCAAACTACTGATTTTAATGCAAATGGGAAGAGGTATTAAAATTTAAGAACTGTCACTGCCAGTTTAATCATGTGTTAAGATTTGAAGAGACTCATTGACCTCAAATTAGATAGTGGTTGTGGAGAATAGAAAGTTGTAAGCAATGCCTTAGATGTCTAAAGGAGGCAAAAGGTAATAACAAACAAAATCAGACAATGCTTTCAGCAATAGCTGCCATTAATGCACATGACTGCTAGGAGTTTTATGGCTTTGAGTCTAGTATTTAAGTTTTCAATCCATTTTTTTTTCTTTTTTTTGTTCAGATAGAGTGGGAGGGAAAGAGAGGAAGAGAGAGAGAGAGAGAAACATCGACGTGAAAGGGACACATCGAGTGGTTGCCACCCACACGACCCAAACAGGGTCGGGGACAAACTGCAACCAAGGTGTATGCCCTTAGCAGGAACCGAACCCAGGTCTCTCAGTACTGCAGGCTGACACACTAACTGCTGAGCCAAACCGGTCAGGGCAATCCATTTTGAGTTTATTATTATGTGTGGTGTAAGAAGGTGGTCTAGCTTCTCTTCTTCCCTTCTTCTTCTTCTTCTTTTTTTTTTTTTTTTGCACATATTTGTCCAATTTTCCCAACACACTTTATTGAATATACTATCTTTAGCCCATTGTAAGTTTTTGCCTCCTTTGTCAAATGATAATGGACTATAAAGACGTGGGTTTATATCTCGGCTCTCTATTCTATTCCATTGACCTGTAAGTCTGTTTTTATGCCAGTACCAAGCTGCTTTGATCAAAATAGCCTTGTAGAGTAGTTTGAGACCAGGTAGTGTG